GTCGCCTGGCTTCACAGCATCAAATGTGGGCAATACGAGTCGATATTCAAAGGTACGCATGCACACAGCCGTCCCGACTTCGCACCTAGGATATCATTAATCATTTATAGCCAACAATTTCAATGGGGATAACTTGCTTGAATGCGACCAAAAGATCCTGCAAGAGATGGGCATCAAGAAAGTTGGTGACCGAGTGCGCATCTTCATCGCTATCAAGCAACTTAGAAACAAATCCGGAACAACGTCACGACAGAAAAACATGGTGGGTTGTGTGATATTGCTCGTATCTTCTACTTTATGCTAATCTTCGACACAGAATACCCTAGCTGCGCTCGAAGCCACAGCACTTTCAAATTCCTCCCGCCATACTCACTCCCGCCTACCATACCGACGCACATCTCAGCTGGCTGATGATGGTTATCTAAACAGCAAATCTCTGTCTCAGCCTACGTCGCCACCAGCCGGTGACTCCGAAAGAGGCCCATGGCGCAAGGACTACCTTAATCATCCATCTTCAGGTGGCTCAAATTCTGGCCGAAATCCCGGTACTCCGAATGAAGGTCGACCGAGCTCCCATCCTCGAAATCCTAGTCTTGATGGTCTCACGATGGGGCCTCTCCCGTCGAACTCCCCAGTCATCCGTGTTATCCACACCGGTGGACAAACCAAGGTGTTGGATGTCCGGAACTGCAGAACAACGGATGAAGTTATTTTGTGTGTCTTGAAGAAACTGCAACTTCCTGAACACCAATACAGAAATTATTGTTTTTATGTTTTGGACGGATTGGACCCAGAACAATCAAATTGCCGGAAGCTCACCGAATCGGAGCTCATGGAGATCTGCGATGGCTTCAACAAGTCTGAGCGAGGTCGCTTGATTCTACGGAAGATTCATGCTGGCGAGCCCGATGAAGACGAGCTTCGTCGTGCATCTCAGCTTGCATATGATGAAAGCCAGGCCACCCACCAGCACGCTCTGAGTAATTCCAACCAACGCCAGAAACACAAGATCCAGCAACTTACCGGCGAATCTTGGCATAATATTAAACAGCCGCTTTCTCCGCTAGGCCCTAGACATCGCCCATCCAACTCTAGTGTCGACGAATCGCAAGGACCGAACAGTGAACGCAATCCTGTGGCTAAACTCCGTTCGTTCTTCGGACAGAGACCTCCAAGTGAGATGATTATTCATGAATTACAATCATTCTTCCCCAGTCATGATCGAGAAAACATCGAGAAGACCATGCGCAGATCTCAACGTTTGAGTCGTGCCGCAAGTCGTATGAGTGTCATGAGCAACTACAGCGTTGCATCAAGTATGAAAGATGCCCCTCCTCTACCGCCATTGCCCCAATTACCTCCAATACCCAGCATTGCCGATGCATGGCTCCAAGGCCCTGGGGTGGCACAGGCAGTACGAGCCCCGCGACCCATTTCAGTTTCCAGGTTCAACCTACCTCAAACCTCGTATCGGGATTCTATTGCATCTAGTTCCCTTCATCCACTTCAAGAAGAGTCACCCACTGAGCCTAACCGAAAGTCATATGTCTCCTTTGAGAGTGGCTCCGATGAACCAAACCTATTGCGCGGGTCGCGACAGAGCTTTGAGAGTCTCAGTGTCGCGGCCACAGATGGCGGTTCCTTTAACGATCGAATGAGCATGATTGTAGCCGAAGATGGCGAAGAGGAGGATGATGGCCTTGTAGACTTCCTGGCTGGAAATAACTTTGCAGCAAAGAACTGGATGAAGGGATCGCTAATCGGAGAGGGTTCTTTCGGAAGCGTTTACCTGGCTCTTCATGCTATTACTGGAGAGCTTATGGCTGTTAAGCAGGTTGAAATCCCATCTGCTACCAAGGGAACAGAGTTCGACCAGCGGAAGAACCTCATGGTCAATGCTCTTAAGCACGAGATCGAACTGCTGCAAGGCATGTCCCACCCGAACATTGTGCAATATCTTGGCACCGTCGCCGACGACCAATATCTCAACATTTTCCTGGAGTATGTGCCTGGTGGATCTATTGCTACAATGCTGAAGCAATACAACACCTTCCAAGAACCACTTGTCAAGAACTTCGTTCGACAAATTCTGGCCGGTCTATCATACCTCCACGGCCAGGATATCATCCACCGTGATATCAAGGGTGCCAACATTCTGGTTGACAACAAGGGTGGCGTTAAGATCTCCGATTTTGGTATCTCTAAGCGTGTCGAAGCATCTCATCTCCTCGGCGCCCGCGCCAGTGGCGGCAGCGCTGGCGCTCATATCCACCGCACATCCCTCCAAGGAAGTGTATACTGGATGGCACCCGAAGTCGTGCGACAGACCGCGCACACCAAGAAAGCCGATATTTGGAGTTTAGGCTGTCTCGTCGTCGAGATGTTTATCGGTGCCCACCCCTTCCCGGACTGCAGCCAGCTGCAAGCCATTTTCGCTATCGGCAGCAACAAGGCTCGCCCTCCTGCGCCAGACCATGTGAGCCAGGAGGCTGTGGATTTCCTCGACATGACTTTCCACTTGGACTACGAGCAGCGGCCTAGTGCTGATGAACTGCTCCGGTGCAAGTTCCTGGCTGCACCTATCGTAGCATGATCAGCGGTAATTATCTTTATCTTTATCTTTCTTAACTGTGTCTCCGCGATACATGTATGTATGATTTTACGTATGATGGTGAAATTCCCGTCTATTGGTCACTTATTTTGGCCCTGTGTTTCTTTTTTTGTTGGTATACTACAACTGAGCAAATGTTCCTGTTGATGCTTTCTAACCATCCTGTGTGCTGTTGTTCGCTGTAAATGTAGATTGAATTTAAGCCAAAGATAGTACACGATTCCGAATAATCACAACGACCATTATTGCAGGTCTTCTCTAAAGTTACATGCTGGATATCACAAGACCATCCAAAAGGAGATATAATAAAAGACCAAGAGTAATCACCAGGTAAACCCGATTTAGTTCACAATCTTGCCGTAGAAAGGAATACCCATGGCACTCAAGAGGAGTCGTGCATCCTTGTCAGTTTTGGCGGTAGTGTGGAGAGTGATGTGGCAACCGGGGATCATCTTGGGAGGATACCTATTGAAACAGGGTTAGCCTTTTGACACAACAATATAAACGCAGAGCACACTTACATATCGTAGTTGATCTCAAGTTCCGGGAACAGAGCAACATTCTCCGGAATCAGACCGAAAGTAATGTTACCACTGCTATCACCACTGGAACCCTTGACACCCTCCCAGTCCTTGATACGGGGCAAGACGACATCAACCAGCTTACCAAGGAAGTGGTACATATTCTCGCCACGCAGCTCAGCCTTAACAGCGACAGAGTCACGGCCCGACGCAATACCCCAAGGAGCAACGTTAGACTTGGACTTGAAAGTCTCAACGCGGACGTTGGAGATAGCCTGAACAGCAATACCAGCGACGTGCAACCAAGAAGAGTTCCTCTCCGCCGCGGCGTTCTTGACATAACTGTGGATTGTGATGCGCTCGACTTCCGGGATGTTGTTGAACTTGATCGGCTTACGGAGAAGACGCAGGACGTCGCCGCCACGGGGTCCGCGGAGGACACGGTTCTTGTGGTAGGGCGAGCTGTCGTCCCAGTCGCGGAGACGGGCAGACTTTGGGGGAGGCTTGAAGCCTGGTGGTGTGTGCACGTAGCACAGGGCCATGATGTCGGGGGAGACGGTTGAGTCGAAGGTTTGCTCTGCTCGGGGCGCGGAGAAGGGACCTGGGACGAACAGCCGGGAGGAGGGGTGGGATGGTGGCGGCGGTTGGTGAGGGTGGAGAGGACCACGGTTGTATTTGGGGGAGCGGAATTGGTATCTGAGATGAAGGGGTTGGGGTTAGTTATTGTTCATTGAATGCCTTTCCATGTTGTTTCCATGTCTGCAGATGCGCATGACTGGAGATGTAGTCGGAGTAGACTTACCGGCCTCGGGGAAGCTGGTTCTTGCGAGCAGCTGCTCGTGCAAGCGGGTCGAACGATGCTGCTGCGCTGTTTGGGACAGTCGTTGACAGAGAAGACGCCGATTCCAGCTCGGTCAGGTGGTCCGACAGACGCCTCGCCGGGGCTTCATCGGAGACATTGCGGCGCGATAAAAAGCCTTGAGGGCGAATTGATGGCACTGAGGCCCGGGGCAATGCCCTGGTTAGGTATCTGGATGGCTCTCTGGCAGCCATTCTGTGAAAAATGGGGTGTGATGGGTTAGTGATCATCCCGGACCCTTCCCAAAAATTGTTCGCGCAGATACTCCAGTCACGTGGGTATATATTAACGCCTTACAAAACAGGCATGACATCCACCTAACCTAACACGACCTAACACCCGTGGACACTTGGATACTAAGTCAACTATTGCTCGGCCTAGGTGATTCATGGCCCATCGACTCACTCCATAGTGATATATCTGTCTACTTTCTTTTATGACAGAGTCTATCTATATCCTCGACTGGTTTCAAACATGGGGCTTGGTTCCAACGCCAATTGCAGCATTTACTACTACAAAAACCTTACTCAATTCTCAAAATTGGTCTTTAGGTGGTTAGAAAGCAACTCTTTACTCAACTAGAATACATCACTTAGGAGGATCCTCACTGGGCGGCTATTCGAAGGAGGAGCTTGGTGAACGATAGTGTATTCATATGCTTCTCACCGCCCTCAATCCTCCGAGGTTCACCGCCAAATTAGGGCAAGATGACCGAAGTAAAGGTCAAGCTCCTGCCTTAGGTGTCTGCTCCAGCTCTGCCCCGCAGATCATCGGGAGGTTCGACTTCATATCATTTGTCTCAGTTGCTTCTTTTCGACGCGTGTTCATATCAGAAGAGCTTGCTTATGATGTATCGTACATGCACTTCTCAGAAATCCTGCAGCCTTGACTAAGCTCCGAGCTAGTTTACAGGTCTTCTGACCCCCGCACGTCTCCGATGTTGGGATTTTCCGTTTAAATCTAGAAAGCCTGTTCTTGAGAGTGTTCTCTTTTTCCTCCATCCGCAATAATGAGTGGCATCCATCGGTTTCTGACACGTCGTGATCGGCACAATAAGTTGAACAAGCAAAGCAAAGAAGAGGTATGCATGTACAGAACACCCTGATGATACTCCAAACAAGATCTTACATTAGCTAACGGTTTTTTTACTTCTTAGGCATCTAATATACTTTCGCGTCCTCTACTCCATGGAATATTCAAGTCAGAGACGACCCTGGCTGATAATGATGAGCATGAGAAGAAGGTATAGTCTTAGCGCATTACGGTCAGCTTGCACCTCTCTAATATCCCAATTTCACATTTAGGTCAGAGCCCTTGCTCAACGGCTTAAACAAGTTGGAATCACCACGTTAGAGGAAGAGCACATGAGTTATGCATTGCGAACCGTGCAAGGCGACACAGAGAAGGCATTTAGCCTGCTACTTCTGCTAGAGGACTCGATCGAGGGAATCATCAGGAATTACACACCCAACACCAAGCTCCTAGGCGCAGAGAACCGCCAAGGAGTCACATGCTACTTGGACGCGTTGTTGTTCGCCATGTTCGCACGCCTCGATTGCTTTGAGGCCATTCTTTACAAATCATTTAATGATGAGCCTCGTAAAAAGCTTGCAGTCCTTCTGAGACTATGGGTGAATCTGCTGCGATCAGGAAAACTCATCACCACAGACATGGTTAGTTATAACACTTATGGTTATTGTCATCTTTCGTATTGTTATTGACCAGTTGGCTTCAGACAAAGCACCTGCAGGATGCCCTAGCAGAATGTGGCTGGGAAGACGCGGCCAAACTTCAGCAACAGGATGCTTCAGAGGCATTCACTTTCATTACTGAAAAGTTGGAGCTTCCATTGCTGACTTTGAAGATGGACATCTATCATACTGGAAAGGAGGATGAAAGTGATGACCATAAGTTTATCAATGAGAGGCTTCTCGAGGTTGCCATACCGCCCGAGCCAGCTGATGGACACTCACTCACACTGGAAGATTGCTTGGAAGCTTACTTCAATAACATGATTGAAGTTAAACGACACATGGAACGACGTAACACCACTAGCTCAGTCAGATCAATGGATTCACTCTCTATGTCCAAGGGGTCCACCTCACATGTCGAAACAGTGGAGATCGAGACCACGCCCACCATGACCCGCGCTCAAACAAATACACCCCGGGTGGAAAAACCAAACCCCTGGTCATCGTTCACCGAGTTCACTGAATCTCTCGAGGCATCTCGGTCACCTGGTCGACGTGGTAGTATTGTTCGACAGCGGTTCTTTCCCGATTCGAGTGACGATACAAACTCCAAAGATACCAATTCAGAGAAAGATACCAATCCAGAGAAAGATACCAATTCAGAGAAAGATGCCAATCCAGAGAAAGATGCCAATTCAGAGAAAGATGCCAATCCAGAGAAAGATACCAGTGGAAATACGCAACAACGAAAGGGTTCATACAAGAAAGAAGTCATGATGCCTGCGTGGCAATTTTTCAGTTTAATACGTATGCCATCTCCTCTCATCCTGTTCTTTGAGTTTCGTGCGAACTGACCTAATCTTGGTTAGCGTGGTATACCGACAATACACCAACAAACGATGCGCAAGTTGCAGCCCATTTTTCCTCAAAACGGCCGATTCTTGGGATGTGTCTGAAACGTTATTCCTTCTTGCCAGACGGGAGGGCAGTCAGACTCAATACACACATTGATATACCAACCGAGATCGGCCTGCCTCACTTCATCCAAGATGACAACTTGGATGCGGATGCTCCTCTCTTTGGAAGCTTTAAACTCTCTCTGCAAGCCCTGGTCTGTCATAGAGGTAACTCGGTTGACTCGGGGCATTATATTTCTATTGTTCGAGGTACAAATTGCCCCAATACCGGCACTCCTGTCACTACTGGCCAAGAAGTCCCGGAGACAACAAAACACTGGATGCGCTTCGACGATCTCGCAGCAGAACGAGTGACACTGGTTGACATTGACCACGCATTGAAGACCGAATCTCCCTATCTTCTATTCTACCAAATTCTTCCTATCGGCGAAGATCCATCTGCGCCCAACATCCAAGCATCATCATCCCGAGCGTCAGACGGCAGTACACTAGCCGACCAAACAGATCTCAGTGCTGAGGACTTTTCTCCTGACCGACCAAGTGTTGAGGTCACAGGGCCATGTGAGAGTAACGCGCAAACATTAGCTAGTATCGCAAGGCGATCCAGCGTTGCATTCTCAGAAACCAGCAACCCGGCTGGTCTTCAGCCGCGCTCTATTCCATCCTCATCACCTAGGCTAGCACCGGCGGAAGAAGGAAGCACAAAGGGGACATCGTTCTCGCGCCGTGGGTCTCGCTCAGCCAAGAGCAATCCCGGAAGCCGTGCTGGGAGCCGTGCTGGGAGCCAAACGGGTGAAAATAGAATCAGTGCCACTTTTTCACGCTTTGCTGAACGGCTTAGTCGGGATAAAATTAGCAATGATGGATTTACCGAGGAAAATGAAGGGAATGAGTCTGTACTGGAAATTGATGACATTGTGGACGATATGAAACTTGGGCCAGCTGCCCTTGAGAACAAGGAGAAGCGTGGAAGAGACCGAACGAAGGATCGCGAGAGGAATAAAGGGAAGGCAAAGGAGAAGTCCAAGGAGAAGAGCAGGAAATTGGACCGGGAATGTGTAGTGATGTGATCCAGGCTGGTGATGCCAGGATTTCTTTTTCTTTTTGAGATACCCAGTCCAGCCGTTGCATTTTTCACAAATGATGATACCCCATGATGCATGAGCGGAGTAACTTGTTTGTAATCAATAGGTGCCTATAAACAATTATGTTTTCTTTTGCTATGTTATGTTATAGTCCTGCCTATGTTGTTGTTGTATGGATGTAGTTCTAATTTTGGTGATCCACGGTCGTGGCCTCAGGTGTCAAGACACTAAGGCCTCCGCATTCCTTCGGACCTCAAGAGCCCATTTCATCCTGCATCAACTCGCAAGACCTTCGACTTGCCTCAACTGTTATATGAGCGGCATGACATAGTGCCCCTACAGCTAGCGCACCATGGCGCTGAACGGATCCAGCAGTTATGTTGCTCCGAGCAACTTAATGGACTCACCGAGCTCTTCCCTACCCATGTTCGACGTTGAACGAGTGCAATTGGCCTTCTCTGTCGCTGCGGACTTCGTTGCAGCGCAAGTCGCAAATAATGTGCTTGTGTTAGCCTTATCAACCAATCGCATTCTCCGAATCGATCTTGATTCCCCTGAAGATGTCGAAGGTAGGTTTCCGAACCTTCCCCGCAGCAAATGCCAGCCACAACAAGTTGACCTAACCGTGCTCATGAACAACAGATATCGATCTCCCCAAGAAATCCTCAGAAGTTGGAGTAATTCGGCGCATGTTTCTCGACCCGTCGGCATCTCATTTGATTATCACCACTACCCTCGGCGAAAACTACTATCTCCATGCCCAGTCACCGTCGCGACAACCGAAACCCTTGTCACGATTAAAAGGCGTGTCAATTGAAAGTGTTGCTTGGAATCCCTCCTTACCCACCGCCTCTACTCGCGAGATCCTCATTGGTGCCACCGATGGCAATGTCTACGAGACTTATATTGAACCTTCCAGCTACCGGCAGGAGAAGTATACCACCCCGGTCTACCAGGTGCCGGGCGCTTCTCCGGTGGTTGGAATCTCGGCAGAACCGGTGTTTTCTAAGCCTGATCAAAGAAGGGTACTTGTGGCAACCTATGGGAAGCTACTGCATTTCATTGGCCGGGCAGGAGCCTCGAAGCATGGGAGAGAAAGCGGCGTGTATTCGGAGCTTTTCCAGCGCGAGATGCCAGTGATGCACGAGAGTCCGAACTCGTCTAGCTCTGCGCCATCCTCGCTGGTAATTTCACCTACAATTTCAGAGAGTTACCAGGCCGAGGGGTATACCGAAAAGCAGTTTGCGTGGCTCAGTTCCGAGGGGATATATCATGGCCAACTTGCGTCGGAGTCCCCATTCAAGACCGCAAATATGCTTGCGCGCTCGGTATTTCCGGCTTCAGAATCACCGCGAGGAGGGCGAAAGTTGATACAAGACCCCATTTCTGCCATGACTTTGTCGCAGTGGCATGTCCTAGCACTTGTCGGGGGCAGAGTGGTCGCAGTCAACCGTCTCAGCCAGGAAGTTGTCCACGATCAACCCGTTTTGGAACCTGGGCAAAGCGCTCTGGGCCTCTTGACTGATCTCGCCAAGAACACATATTGGCTCTTCACCAGCCAGGCTATCTTTGAAGTTGTAGCAGGCGATGAGGACAGAGATGTTTGGAAAATCTTTTTGAAGGAACAGAAATTCGATGAGGCCCTTCAATATGCCCGAGGTGCTGCCCAGCGAGATGCTGTTATGACTGCTTCAGGTGATTTCATGGCAGGCAAGGGCAACTTCCTCGAGGCAGCCAAAGTATGGGGCAAGAGCAGCAAAGGGTTCGAGGAGGTTTGTCTTACCATGATTGATCATAAAGAGCATGATGCTTTGCGGAACTACCTCCTCTCTCAGCTGGCAACATACAAGAAGGCCTCGCTTATGCAAAGAATAATGGTCGCAAGCTGGCTTGTGGAACTATTCATGTCAAAGTTGAATTCTCTCGATGACAATATCGCTACCAAAGCCGAATTGGCAGAAGGCACAAGCCCGGGACAAATCAAGGATCAGCTTGGCAGCATTCGAGCTGATTTCCAAGAGTTTGTGAACAGCTACAAAGCAGACTTGGACAAGAAGACAGTATACGATGTCATCAGCAGCCATGGGCGGGAGGAAGAGTTGTTGTTCTTTGCAACCGCTACGAATGATCACAACTATGTTCTATCCTACTGGATTCAGCGCGAGAAATGGCTAGAAGCCTTGAAGGTTTTGCAGCGACAAAGCGAAGCCGATGTGTTTTACAAATATAGCAGTGTGCTGATGACACACAAGCCGACAGATCTAGTTGATATCCTGATGCGACAGACAAACCTTGATCCTGAGAGACTGATCCCCGCGTTGTTGAACTACAACAAATCTGCCAGCGTTTCTTCCCTCACCCAGAACCAAGCCGTTCGGTATCTGAACTTCATCATTGTCAACCACCCAAATCCATCCGCAGCAGTCCACAATACCCTTATCTCAATACATGCCTCCAGCCCTTCACCGTCCGAGGCTGGACTGCTTACTTATCTCCAATCGCAACCGTCATCCCCTCCTCCATACGATGCAGACTTCGCACTTCGCCTGTGCATTCAAAACCAACGAATCCAGTCTTGCATTCACATCTATAGCACAATGGGACAGTATCTACAGGCTGTGGAACTAGCGCTGGAGCACAAAGACATAGAACTCGCCGCGATCGTCGCAGACCGCCCGGAGGGCAACGACAAGCTCCGCAAGAAGCTCTGGCTTCTCGTGGCTGAGAAGAAGATTCGCCAACCAGGCACGGGCATCAAAGACGCGATTGAATTCCTGCGCCGCTGCGAGCTGCTCCGCATCGAGGACTTGATCCCATTCTTCCCCGATTTCGTCGTCATCGACGACTTCAAGGATGAGATTTGTACTGCTTTGGAGGACTACTCGCGCCACATCGACTCGCTCCGCCAGGAAATGGATAATTCAGCCCTGACAGCCCGCCAAATCCGCGGTGAAATTTCCGGTCTCGATACTCGCTACGCCATTGTTGAGCCAGGTGAGAGGTGCTGGATCTGCTCGCTACCTGTTCTCAGCCGTCAGTTCTTCGTCTTTCCCTGCCAGCATGCTTTCCACAGTGACTGTCTGGGTAAGGAAGTCTTGGATGGCGCTGGTGGCAAGAAGAAGTATATTCGGGATCTGCAAGCGCAGCTCAGCAGTGACGATATCTCTGCCTCACGGCGTGAGAAGATTGTTAAGGAGTTGGATGGGCTAGTCGCTGAAGCTTGGTATGTGTCTTTCCTATTAGCTCATCAATAGTACATATCACTAACCACATTTCTTTGCAGTATCCTCTGCGGTGACTATGCCATCAAACAAATTGACAAACCCTTCATCGCAAGCTCTGAGTCGGCCGAGGATTGGGCTCTCTGATATGCTCTCGTCCAATATCTTTCCCATGTGGTCCCGCAGGACACTTTTTTTTCATTTCGCTTTTGATTTTTCGCAATACCCTTCCTTGTCTTAAGCATGTACTACATGATAAATGAGGCATAGTCCTCGTACATAGACATAGCTATACTGAATGTGATTTCGGATCCCAACGTTAATTTTGTACTTGAAAGAGAAATAACATACTTTAGGTACAGTATATACACTGTGAATACACTGTGAATAATCTACCCAACTCCATGCGCAGATAAACAAATTCCCAGAATGGTAGTTTGGAAAGGAGATAGGGATGAACAATTGAAAGCTATATCTCAACATAATATACCTACTCCCAAAGCGCAGAGTACCTAGTTCTCAGGCCATAGATACCGCAGCAGTTCCAGATCCTGCCGCACAGCGGGACTGTGCGCTGCACAGTCCTCCAAAAACCCTAGCATCTCCTCATTCCAGCGTTCCCAGCCATCCGGCAGTGTCTCACGAAGACGAGCACTTGGCGAATGGGCTATGCAATAGAAGAGCAGGATTTGGCCAAAGAATCTTAAGCGTCGAAAAGTTAGTTCAAACACATCCAAACACATAAACAACCATATAGTTGTATGCAGAGGGAAATATGCAGAAGGGACATATAACTCACTGCGAGCAAAAAGCAAACTTAATCGGAATACAGCTCTTCATTTTCCGGAAGATGCCCTGGGTAATCGGCCAGTCCATTGCATTCTGGAGACCGCTTCGCACTTGCACGAAGTCTTCATCTGTTAGAAGATGCGGGATTCGGAGAGCTTTGTATAGATACGGCCGGCCGATGTGGAAGCGTGCGATCATGTGTCGGCCTTTCAGCATGGCGTCTGTTACTGCTATTGCTGGGGAGAGGGGGTGGTTCGGATCTGTCTGTCTTGGTCTTGGGGAAGAGAGGTGGACTGGAGATACTATTGAGGCGGACGGGGAGGGGTGGATTGATGGGGTTGCTGGGGTTGGATGAGAGTATGGGGCGTTGTTGAATTGGATTGTCGTTGGGAGGTTGGTGCGCCATTGTTCTAGTTGGTGGTGCAGCTCGGTATTTATTGCTGGTAGGGGGAATGTTCCTGAGTCCGCTATATGGATGAGGGTATGTTAGAGGATGAATTCTGGCTTTTGTTTTGACTGTCCCGGTGGAATTGTAGGATAACTCACAGTAGAAGTAGAGGGAATGGCGGATCCGCGTGAGGATGATGCGGTGAGCCACCTGGGCCAGGAAATGATATTGGAAGTATGAGTCGTCAACTACGGCCGATGAATTGAAACGGGTTGAGGGGTAGCCGGTTGTTTCGAAGCCGATGAATTGGGGAATTGGGACTTGTTCTTCGAGACGAGAGAGACCGCTTGATGGGAGGTGCAGCTCTTGTACGAGAATGGTCTCGTTCATTAAACAGTTCCAGTATACACGGGATTTCATATCGCCTTCCCACTCGTTGAAATTCACATTATGGCTGCATACGGGTCAGTATCATTCAGGTGTTTTGAGACGTATAGAGCAAGACTCACTTCGTCAACATTGATAGACAGCAGGTCGCAGCGCGAGAAATCATTGTCCAAGAGTCCATCGGACGGGGAATCTGGCTA